TGAACCCAGCTCTCCATCTGGGAGATGCACTCTTCAGAACAAACTGGGCACAACTGAGGGTTAAGCTTTAAAAACATTTGTTCTGTATGGAAGGTCTTGAAGCTATGCACCAGCATTGGCACTCTTAACAAAAAAACCCTCATCACCACTGAAGTGACAAAAGCCATGTAAGGCAGCTTTTCCTTGGTGTCCTGGGGGAACCGGGCACCCCAAGAAAGCACCGTGAGTCAGTCACAGACTGTGTGCATCTGGAGACAGAGGTGCCGTACGCTCATTTACTGCCCACTAGCCAGTCTTCACTAGCGGCAACTGCGAACTAGGTTTAGCTTTCTCTACTCTCCTTCTGCTTGTACAAAGCACGAGATCACATCCCACTGCGGCTGCCATAACTCTTACCCAGAGGAGTCTTAAGCCAAGAAAATTTGGACTTCACTGGGCAAATCTCCCTGACTGTTCAATACAATAAATACTTTGACTGAAATGAAAGCATTGGTGTTACTTATAAACAACAGTTTAGTCTTTTTCCCAAACAATCTAAAATACCTTTCAAACAAATACATATTGTGTTTGATTGTGTACTTTCTCTATACAGAACTCAAAAAATGAGAACCTGTAGCAGAATCTAGGGGGAAAAAAAAAAAAACAGATACAGAAATTAATAATCCAGGAAACTTCCTACACTCTCTACATGGACCAAACTGAAAAATGCATATGAATTAAAAGAGAATTGCAACTGTAACACTCATCACAGACAAAACATAAATGTTAGTCACCACTACCATTTGAAAAAATAGAAAAAAATAGAGCAGCGCTGCTGTTTCCTACTGATGTGCAGGCATTTTTCAGCACTGTAGCAAATGCACACACATAGTTTTGCATTACACTACAGGCATTCTGCGTTTTTTGACACATAGATTTGAATGCAAACGTTAAATATCAGTGTGAGTACCTTTCTGTTAAAGGCCACTGCCGGCTTGGTTTTTTTGTACTTGAAAAAGAATGCTTTAACATTTCTTAACTGCAAATCTTTTAATTAGAAAGTCCTTAACATACATATTTTTTAGTTATATAAGAAATACATTTCTTGTTTTCTGAGAAAAGCTAAATTCCTACATAAAAAGTCTGTCCAGTGCACTCATAAATGGGAAATGACTGAACACTTCTGTTAACTCCTTTAAGTTGGAGTAAACCCAGATAAAAGTAAAATTTTAAACCATTTTCAGACACAAATGTAATTTTGAAGTTGACAGTGTCCCTCAGTGACACACAGTTGTTTGCACAACATTAACTGTCTGCAGTGAAGTTTATGACAAACTGTAGATCTTTGCTCTAATTTTGTAGAGAAACCTGGCCAAGTCCTTTCCTGAGCCAGCTGTGTGAATTCCCACAATCTGCATGAGCTAGCTGACAGCAACGTACATTAGGTAACTTTAAATACTTTTTTTGCCCGCACAGTTAATATACAATTTACTACTCAGTGACCCACTGTGCCAAATTAATCAGTAGCGTAATGAAATCAAAAGAAGGCAGCACAGGAGGTGAAGCTGGCCCACAGGTTTAGCTAACAGCAAAGGAGGGCAACTCTGAATTCTGAGATGGGGCAGTGATCCTACAAGAGACAGGCAGAATGGAGTGGGCTAGAAAGGGTGTCTTTTGAAGAGCCCTTCCTTCCTTCCACTGCCACAAAACTAATCTAGCCGTTACAGAGGGTCTTTACCTCTGGCTCATACAGAAACTCTGAAGATTAAGCTTCTGGCTTTTGGATATATCTCCTAAGACCAAGTATTTACTGAAATCTTTCCCACAAAGAACACCCTGTACCCAATCTGTAATTTATAACCTCTCTGGTTTGGGTCACTCCACAGAGGCCTTAGCTCATCCACTACTCTGGAAGAATCTTCTTTTGCCACCTTCTGGTGTGCCTGTCCTGAGATACTGCATTAGCTGTTCTAGTGCATGCTAGCCCCAGGCCACTACAGCGTGGAGGAACATGTTAGCATCTCTAAACTGAGTCGCCCTTCTCTTTCCAGTGCATAAGCATCCTCCTCCCATGGCTTCTCTTCAGTCAAGGCTCTGAAAGGAAACGTGTAACTACTGACTTCACCTCACGTATCACCCAGTACAAAACACTCCCCGTGTACTGTACTCCGTCATTGC